GGGCGCGTGCGCGGCGGGGGCGTGTGTGCGCGCGTGTCAGTGTGCCCCTTCCAAGAAATGCCCAGTGTGCACCCGGTGCACGATCGGAACCCATTCAGCACCGGCGCGGGGTGGGAGGAGGCGCGGCCGCTGGAGGCGATGGGGAGAGCGAGGCCGACGCGTCGGCAGCACTGCAGATGGGGCTGGGGGCCGCACTCGCTGGCGAGTTAAGTGGGGATGGTGCTCCTGCGTGCGTGTGAGCGTGCGCTGCTGTGCGGTGCCGCTTCTCCCTCCCTGCCTCCCGCCTGCCCACTTCCCTCCTGCGCTCCCTCCCTCCGCCCTCTCTCCGCTTCCATTCAGGTTGGCTTTCCCACCTCTCCTCCGTGCCCGTCCCGGGAATGGTAGAGCCAGACCTTTTCTGAATTATTTATAGAGCGGTGCCAGCTGTTTCCAATTCCTCTCGTGTGCACTCTGTGGGAAATGCGGGGTTTCCAACCCTCTTTTCCTTAAAACGAATTGATATCTTTTTTTTTTTTTTTTTCCAGAATGCATTTTTCTCACCCTCCGGGGGACACGCGAATCAAACCCTGACTGCCTCTTTTTTTCCCCCCTTAGGAAGGGGACGCTTTGGGAATGACCATGCTCCAAGGAGGGACAGAGCCGGCCCCCAGCTCCTCTACACCGAGCCTCCTCCACTAAAGCTCCAAAAATCAAAAAACCGTAATTGCCAGAGGAATCATTAAAAAAAAAAAAATTAGTCCAGCCACCAACCTCACATGCACACGGAATAATTACTCTGGATTCTGCATCGTGAGCTGCTCTCCATACCCTGACTTACCTTTGAATTCAGTCTCTTTTCTCTTTGAATTTGCATCTCTTCAAGGCACAAGATTCAAACAGAATTCACGATAAATTGGATTTTAAATGATCCTCCTTTCATTTATCCCGCACCTTTCTTATGTGGATATGCAAGCGAGAAGCGGAGGCTGGACATTCCCAACATGCTCGCTCCCTTAATCCGACCGGCTAGAGGTTTGGCTTCTACAAACCAAGGTAAGGCACATCCTATTGTATTTTCCTCTCACCTGGGCTGAGGGATTCCTTGTTTATCTCTCTCCAAGTCCCTCCAATGTATTTTTGGGAAGAAAAGGTAACAGGACATTAAAATAATGCTGGTTTGGGGGAAAAGCCTTATTACAAAGGGGGAAATCTCCCCTGTTTTTTCCTTTCCTTCCTCATCAAACAGGTTTGGGGTTTTTTGGAGGCAGTGGGGGTGGATGTCTGTAGGAACAGAGGATGTTGAAAGGCATGAGGCTTTTTTCTTTCTGTCTTTCTTTCTTTTTTTTTTAATGCAGACACGACTGGGAAACCTGTGTGATTTTTGAGTTAAATATCATTTTATTCACCCAGGACTAAAGCTTTGATTTTTATGGGAATCTAGAAACCTTTTTCTTTTCTTCCCCCTAGGCTGGCTTTCCCCCTTGCCTCTTCCATGCCTCTCTCTCTATCTCCTGTCTCTACCTTCCTAGGCATCCTTTCCGTGCCCTTTAAAAAATGAAGACAATGACTGAGATTCCTGTGGTTATTGCCCTGAAGTCCACTTGCTGTCTAAGGGGTTGACATTGGGCCCGGAGATCCCGGGAGGCCTACTGCAGAGGGACAGGTCTAGGTGGGGAATCCGGCTGCTCTAAGAACACCTGGAAATGAAGAATGCTGCAGGTTAAGACTGAAATCTGAAGCTTGGGAAGAAGGAATTCTGTCAATATTCTGCTTTTAATTTGTATTTTTTTCCATGGGCTATTATTTTTGAGCTATAAATTTCTCCTTCTGTCTACACATCTATTTATACCCACACATCCTCCAAGCAAACTGTTACTTCCACACTCTTGCAAAATGGCTATCTTGCAGAGTTCTAAAATGCTGTGCATGTGGAAGGGGTGCAGAATTCACACGTGAGCCTTTGTGTTAAACAAAGAGATGTGCCATTTGCATGTGTTAGTCTTGTACCCTCAGAATAGAATTGATACTTTAATTTTTCCCCCTCTCATCATTTTTCACAATATGCGAAATGTGGTTTGGCAGTATTTTCATGTACTTGAAAAGAGAAATAGCAAGAGAAATGGAAAAGACTTAGCTAATGACTCTTCAGCTAGTCACTCATGTAATCCAAGACAACTCCTGAGGAAACCAGAATGTCCATGTGCTGAAGGGCCATGATGTGAGCTGGCGGCTCCTTTCCTTGGTCCACTGGCCATATATCCCCAAACTCTAAAGGCAGCCAAATGCAGCCATCAGGTCGAGACAAAGATCTTCAAAATAATGTAGCAGAATCATTCGCATCAATAATCTTTCTTAAAGTATTCTCTGCCCTCCCCAAATCTTTTTTTCTGTTTTTTTAATAATACTTCGAAATAATCTGAGCTACTGAAGGGATGCGGTGGGGAGTCGCAGAAGGTCCTTGTTTCTCAGCATCACAGTAGAAGATAGTTCTTCATTGTCCAAAAAGGATGGATGTGATCCAGATTCCCTACTCCCCTCCCCAGTTTTCATCCCTTTGGACGCTTATTGCTTAACCACCCATCTGTAACCACGGTGTCATCCGAGCGAGAGGGTGGGATCTCCCTTTGAACCGCGCTCTCACCACGCCCACAGGTAGCTGAGGTAACTGATGTGCGCTCACCTGAGAGGCGCCTGAGCTGGCTCCCCACCTGCCTCCACTCCTTCAAGTGGGAGGCTGAGCCTTAAAACTGCTTCAAAATAGAACCGAGACTCAGGTGAGAAGTACAGCTCCAGGTGTGAGGATTTCATAGGTGCAGGCGAGCAAGGCGAGGTGGGTGCCACAGGGCACGTGCCCTCTCCTGCATTCCTGGTGCCTACGACAGTGCTCTGCACCGAGTAGGTTTTTCGTCACGCTTGTGGGTGACGAGGTTGACAGAAGTCCTTTTGACAGGGTCTCAGCTACATTTATCTTGGCTGCTCATGGGATTAAGCCAGGTTCCAGGCCACCATTAGTTGTCCCCAAGACTAGGCAAAGGACAAGAGGTTAAAAGGAGAGGGTGCTGAGGAAGAGGCGGACCAGGCGATGGGAAAGCTAGGAGAGAAAGGAATGGAGTTCCAACTGGGAGGCCTCCTTCGGGTTTTAGGAGGAATCACCACAGGTGGTCTGTGCCTGTTCCACACCCTGAGCCATTTTAGAGACCCTGGAGGGTGGGGGTGGGGGGGAGGAAGGTGGTCCTGTGCTCCTGAGCAGGTTTTGGGTGACGCAGTGGTGTCCTGGGCTGCCTCAGGGCCGTTGTCCTCTCTTTTTGTCCCCAAGCACCAAGACTGGGCTCTATTTTGTCTTCCCTCCTTCTAACCCCTGCCTCCTCCGCTTACTGTGTGGGTTACGTGGGAAAGAGATGTGGCTGCTGGCGGGAGGGAGGAAGAGGGAATTCAGTTTTAATCAAGGAGTCTTCATGATGTACAATTAAAAAAAAAAATTAATGGGAAATAAAGACTTCCCAGGAAAGCACGGTTGAGGACGTTAGATGGGTGATTTCAAGGAAATCAGAATAGCACGGTTGTCTTCTATCTGCGTGTTTCAGGTGTTGCAAAGCAGGGTGGGCCTGTGAACACAGAGCCATCTGAGAGCTAGATGTTAGCAGGGGTGTACCCCCGGGTCATCTCCACTGGGTCCTGCCCTAGGAATCCTGTCTGTCTGAAGGGTCCTGCTTGGCCACTGTATGTGTGCGATTTATGACAGGGGTGGATGCAGGCGAGGAGAATAAGTGAGACAAAATGACAGGAAAGGAGAAGGGAGAAAAACATTTCTCTAGTCCCTACTTTGCACACCCAGGGCCTTTCCTTTAGGCTGAGCGAGAAGAGCGACTTCCTCTGGCGAAGGGGGGAACAGCGGGCACCTTGGTGTTGCACTCCTCCTGCCTCATCTCCAGAAAGATGGCTCCAGAACCTTGACCATCTTCTTGGACCTTCGCGTGCATGCACCCAGCCTCGTGCGTGGAGGGGCAGTGGGCCCCGGGGAGGTGGGCGCACGGGCTGAAATTGGTGGGTGGGATGAATGGTTCTCGACAGAGAAAGGCCCCAGCTGATCCAGCCCTTGGCCACATGACCTTTAACTTGTAAAATGTTCTTCCATCTCCTCCTTGGATACGATGAGCGCAGGATGTGGGGTTTCCCTCTCCCATTTTCTTGTTTAAGAACATGAGAACGAAGGTGACATGTCCACTGCTACTAACAGGTTAAAGCAAACATTTCGTTAATATTTATGGACTATAAAATGCAGGAGGCAGGAGAAAGGACAGGGTGTATGGGAAGAAACCATAGCCAAAAAAAAAAAAAAAAA